GCAATATACATAATGTTCGTATCACTCAATTTTTTGTATCATAACTAATATAATCTGTTTATATCAATGCTTGTATTATTTAATTCTCTGTCTCACAAATAATACAATGTTTGTATTATTTAATTCTCTGTCTCACAAATAATACAATGCTTGTATTATTCAATTCTCTGTTTCACAAATAATACAATGCTTGTATTATTAAATTCTCCGTTTCACAAATAATACCATGTTAATATTATTTAATTCTTCGTGTCACAAACATGTCCACTCACGCTACGATTTTTCCAAAATTCAGAAAATCTGATTTGTTCACTATACTGCACCTGCTCCATAACATTTCCGAAACTGAGTAACCGTCGCATTGTCAGAGACACAGACTATCGCTCGGCCAGATTCGCGTTAATCGAGATAAACTTCCACGGATAAGAGTGCCGAGCAAGGAAAGCGGCTTCAGGTTTCTCGCCGAGATCCCCTCTGAACCAGACTCCAGCATCCAGAGAATGGGGGGAGGGGGACAGTCGAGTAGTATAGTTTACGCTGAAGATGCGGACCATCTTCCGATGGCCGATCATTTATCACAGTAGCGCGGGCTCTGGAAATATTGACAAAAACCGGCGGTGAGGGGGGAGGGGGGTCGTAGGGGTTGGTGCAGTCCGCGTCGCATCGCGTCGCGTCGTTTCGGCCCTATCAATTTCCACGAGCGCACAGCCTGCAAGGAGCGTTAGCCAAATTGCAGCAGTTTGCCGACGGGTAGATCCGGCCAGACGATAACGTAAACCGCCATGGTTTATGGCTGAGCGATCCTCCCGTGTCTCGTGTTTGTGCACACGCTCGGGTGCGTGCGAATGCGCGTTTGTACCTGTGGATTCACATATTCCGCCGTTATGTGCATAAATACGGAGCACACACGCAGACGCAAGTGCAAATACATTATGTATTGATAGAGGCTCCCGACGGCTCGGTGCAGTGCGGTGCGGTGCAGAGCGGAGCGGAGCGAAGCGGACCAACGCGACCGGCACGCGCGCTCACCGTTCCGTCTTCAATAAACTATGAGCGGAAAGATTGTAATTTCGTTTCTTAATCTGCGGATTGGCAAGCTGCGACCTCCTGAATTGTTTAGGCCGGGCCCATTCGGCCGCGAATTACAATTATTGTTCGCCGAATTTCCGTAATAGAGGCGGGCCAGCGTTCGAAGTGATTTCGCGAGCAAATGACCTGGAGCATTGCGATAATGGCTTTCGGAAAGTATGGAGTGTGGCGTGTGGTCCGTGGGATAATTGGGAAAGGGCGGGTCTTTGTGTAATACCGAACCCGCCCGGGCTCCTCTAAAGGTCTGCGTACGCTGCAATACCGGCTCCATTCCGGAATTTTTCTCGTGCGCGAAATTGCGCCTATAATTTTCTACAAAATCGGAGAAAAATGGGTTTCGCTCATTAAACTCGGGGGCGAAGGGGATAAGACACCCGATGGATTTGACAATTTTGTATTTACAATGGCAACGAGGTTTATTAAATGCACATTTTTTGGCACTATTTTTGTTTATAAGCTTTAGTCGGGTGAACTAAGATATCAATATTATTATATATATAATATATAATATTATATATAATATTAATAATATTATATATATAATAATATTGATATCTTATTATATCTATTATATTATTATCTATTATCTATTATTTATCTATTATTATTATATATTCAATAGAATTTCGTCTGGGAAAACCTAAAAAATTGAATACTATTAGTAGGTAAAAAAAAATGATAAGACATATGTGGATAAAATGGTATTTGCAAGAAAAATGTACCAGTTTTGATTAGTATTGAAATACTAATGTTTATGTAAATATTAATGTTTTTCGTCGTCATTTGTGCCATGTTTGCTCTATGTAGTTTTTAAGAGTTTTAAATTGTCGACTGTTGGTATAACGTGTTCTGACAAGATTTTAACTATACTTTAAACTATACAACAATAACATCATGCTGTTACTCATATTGTCTATTCATATGTTTTCTATTAATGTAAATTGTTTAACTTATTTGTGTACATATTCTTTCTTAATCGCATTGCTAATAATCGTGCTAATAATCACAGCATTCAATAAGAAAAAACATTTTAAATTTAAACTAAACTGTTAAATTACACTTTTTTATTTTTAATTTTTTTTTGCCTCGAGCACGTTTTGCTACAACTTTTATCCTCACTTGTTCATGATAACGGAACTGTTGATTTTTATGTAAAATAAAATATATTCCACATGTTTCATTAATTGCAAAAAGCGAGAACGAAGGAAGTATTTATTTCTTCTGCACAATTCTCTAATGCACAATTTAATATTTATATTAACAGCTCAGAAGCCAATCGATGCAAGTACATTAACTCTAAAAAATTGAGATATATTTTGTTTTTAAATTACCTGTAAAAAAATAATAATGCATGATAGTGCGATACATAATTTCTAAAACAGAATTTTGATAGAATTGAACATTTATTTCCAGCTTCTATAAAAAAACATCTAGATTTGTGTTGAAGTAGAAATCGTCGTTGAGTTGATGCTACAGAGTTCAAGAAGACAAATATTTGGAAATTTCATTATTCAAGGTGTAGCTCTTACTTTACCCCTTAAGGAATGAATTTTTCAAGTGAGTTCCTTAGTGAACACCTGGGACCTAAGGGTAACTCGGTAACTTCACTGCGAAATTTCAACTTTCTAGGTCAGAAAGTTTCGAAGACGTACATAGTGATCAGCGGGTAAGTGATATTTCCCATTTGTATTTTATTTAATGATAAGAAATGGTTATATTAGTTTATGTGAACGCCGAAGAAAGGTGTTTGCAAATCTTTATATTTGACTATGTAGTGTAACATTGTCAAAAATTGATTTAACACTAATTGTAAAAACGTTATAATATTGTAACTTTATTTAATACTAAACATTCTAATATTATTAAAAATTTTATTTACCTTACCATTCAGATTTTTCCTGTCATAAAATTTTCTCTATTTTTTCAAATGAATTTTTCACATATTATAATGCTAGAGATAATCGATGCAGGTGAATTGTAAATTTATAAAGTAATAGAATTATTATTTATATTTACATTACTCATTCAAGGAAAAAGATAAAGCATTACCGTTAATTTCTACGATAATTGCCGCAATTTATGATAAAAATGCATTAACCCCAACATTCTTGCATTTAATTCTAACACTTTGCTTGTGGCATAATGTTAATTAGTTCGCTTCTAGGAACAAGAGATCCAAATTTCTTTGATCTTGAAATGAATTTCATAATTGCAAAATTGTTTTCTACATTCATAAAACATGATAATGTGACTTAGTATAGAACATGGCATAGTATAGAAGGCATAATATAGAACTACGGGTCGTATGAATCTAAATCATGTTCGAAAACATCCATAAAACATGATATTGTGGCTTTAAATAATTTTAAAGTAATTAAAAATTTTACGAAAATATCTATCCTTCGTTTTCGGAACCGTGTGCTATTCTTCTTGCATTTTTAAAAATAAGATTTAGGTTGATACGACGCTTTATGAAGTTTTTCATGACAAAAAGCTCGGTTTTATTTTTTGTTCTTGATCGAAGGGAAAAATGCCAGGCTGCGCGCCGATCAACACCGTCGGCCAATAGATTCGCGGAGATCGAGATTTATCATTACAGTAAAAACGTCGATAAAATGTAACGACAAAAAAAATAAATATAAACAATAAAATGTATCTTGAAATGTCTACTAATATCTATATGGAAAGTGGCGAAAAATGTCATGGATGTTTCAAAGGTTTATTTTGAGACTTCCTCTTCAGTACCCGAGAAATCGGTCAAATGTTTCCGTATTTCAGGGAAAATCGTGCGATTTTCCAGCAGACATCGGAACCCAGACGCTTTCCTCCGATATAAGTGATTTGCCCGTGTCGTTTCCAGTGACACAGGTCGAGCCGAATTATCCGGCGAGAGTTGTTGCACGAGGGTGGCCGCGCTAGTCGACGAGAATGAAAACGTTGTCGGCTGTTTGTCGGTCTGTTCGTCAGCCCGGACGACGGGATAAACACGGGAAAACCGATTGCGCGGCACGCACGGCCGTGTCTGGGAGCAAATTAAAAATCAATTCCAGGAACAGGTAATTCGAAAGTGTTCGACCGGCC